TATTTCTTAATATAGAAATAAAAATTTTTAATAATAAGGGACATTTGAATTATATCCTCACAAATAATTTAGGGACCTATCTTTAATGGTACCAAATATTATATTAATTTTATTTAATCATTTTTATATAAAATTGAATTGATATCTTGTAATCTAATCTGTGAAGTACTAACTACTGTGCTATGGATTCACAGGTCAAGTCCAATATTTTCATATGAATATAACATTGTTATTATTGAGAATATCTTGTTTAAAAATATTTTTATGATATTTTTGTTATATAGTATTGTTATTATTGTTATAAACAGGTTTGTACTATTTGATTGTTATGGAATTAAGTTATTGAAATTTGATTAGATGTTAAGTTTGTATTGATTATTAAAAAAATGAAACTGATTTAATTTTTTGTATTAAGAAAAATTTTGTAGATTTTGATATGATATAATATTATATGTTATTAAGAAAATAATTAAAAAGATTTGATTAAAACAAACAAGAGACCTAATAACTTTGCTTGAATATAACTTTAGAAATAAATTTGTAATATTGAGGGTTGATATAAGAATAGTATTGATAGTTTTTAAAAAAAGAAAGATATATAAAAACAAAGTTAAAAAGAAGAATTGTCAAAGGTCTTTTCCTATGTAACTAAAGAATAAACAAGATTCTCAAACTTGTTATATATGTTATTTTTATTATATTCAAATTATATTATTATATTATCATATTTTTTTTTTACTATTAAGTAAAATATTTTTTTTATATTTTTTTTAAAGGTGAACATGCATCAAATGCAGATCTTTATTGATAGAAATTTTTATCAAAATGTATATCAAATGTCTTCTATATATAATTACATATAGAATTAACACTGCCTATTGACTATTTCTAGTAATAGCTTACATATCCACCTTTTTAATTACCCAACTATATGAACTTATACCAAGGAGATGTATCCACACATCAGGTGGGATAATCCAGGGGATGGAAATCTTGCTACCAGTTTTAAACTATCTAAACCTATTAATCCAATGAGGTGGAGAAGGTATACCTTTCAGGGATGATTAGAACACCCAGATATCCCAAATACTTTTTATCTAGTTTCTCGGAGAAGGTAATATACTCTTTGTCACTACCTGCGGCTTCAGATTTCCTACTTTGGGATCCTTTTTTTTTAAGCAAGCGCCGGATTGAGATAGCCCCAGGCTAGAGTGTTCTTTGTGCTATGGAGTTTGCTGTGCCAGAAGGTTTTGTGGGCTTTTATTGGAGTTAGACCAGAAGGCTTTCCTCATACAACCTTTCCTGCTTCGACCTGTTTTCAGCCTACGATTGTTAGAAAGACCAGAGGTCCCATCTTCATGCAGTCTAACTATTTTTGATTAAGATCTGGATGTTTGGTTACAACATTTGTAAGAAAACTAGTAAACTCACAAATGAGTGATAATTTTTGTGTTTTGCTCCTTGTGGGTATTGAACTAGGGACATGTATTTGGAAACCAGGGAGCACTACCCACTGTGCTATTGACCCACTGGTTAAGTAAAATATTTCTTATAATCTTTATTAATAGAGTAAATATTAATATTATATAATTAATATTAAGATACTGAGATTAAAGATAAGTTCTTAAATTAAAGATAAAAATATAATTTAAATATCTTTCACTATTAAAAAAGTTTTTTTTAAATATAAGATCAAAAAAAAATTACTTATAAAGGTTTTTTGCAATTTAGAACATTTGATCCAAATGTTTTTTGAATTATGTCCCTATTAAAATAATAAATAAATAATTATGTCCCTTTAAAAGAAATATAATTGATTTGTGAAATTTTTATGCTAAATAATTTAGGAACCCATTTTTATCCAAAACAATCTCAATAACTTCTTTCTTTATCAGAAAAGATATAATATTGCCCAAGCATAAGTGACTATTGCAAGAAAGGTACTAATTATCTCTTTTGAAATCAAATCAACATAATAAATAATGAAACCAAATTCATTCTTGAAAAGATACAAAATACACCTATCTATCTATTATCCAATATATTAGTTTAGACAAAAAACCAGAAATCAAAGAAGAATATTTTTACTTAAATTCTGAAAGAAAAAAATCAACATCTTAAATTTTTCAAAAACCCCAAGCAGCTTATTTTTATCCATTGATCAACAAAACATAAACAATCCCAATCTAGCTAAAATCAGTAACAATATGCATGTACTTCCTGCAACTTTAGACAGTACAAATATATTATATACCATTAGTATTACAATAACAAATACTAATAGTACCTATAACACAGATGATATAATACAAGTAAATAATCTTTACTTTGCAGTTATCACAGATGACAATCATGACAAATCTGATAGTACAATCAAATCAACTAGTCCTTACTCTGACAATAATGTAACAATAGATTTCTTGAATTATCCATTAGTTATAAGCAATATTAGCTCCTTGATAGAATTTAACTGGCAAGTTCAAGAAGACTTGGTAGCCATACAAAACAATGAAGATCTAAAACCTATCCTTTTACAAGTAGTTAATACAAAAGAATTATCAGAGTAGCCATATGATAAATCAAGCTTTATTGAAGATTTAGCAAACTCCTCCAGCTTATTTTCCATAGAAAGCTCTAATAAAGACTCATACAAAAATCTTTTCAAGTGCCAAGAAAAACAGAATTACAGAAGTTTTTTTAAAAAGTGACCCAACCTTTAACCACCCTATAGATAGTCCTACTGCTCCACAAACAGCCAACATTATTGAACCCTTTATTAGCAAGCATGATATCATTATTGACCTAACTTTCCAGCTACTATTGTACCAAACCAAGGCCCAAAAGGTAGCAAACCTACTTATAAAGATCAGAACCATTCCAAAGGATTCAATCCTACAAGAGCCCCACTTTGCAATCTTTACAAAAATTCTTCTAAGAGACAGAACCTTTTTCAGATTGTTTACAAAAAATGATCTACTTAAAGGAAATCACTAAAAAGAATACAAGACATTAGAAACCAAAGCTCATGAAAACTACAAAAAAATCAGAAAGAATGATAGATATTATAATGAATGAGTATCGATTTTTGCAACATATGGGCATAATTATAAAGGAGGTTCCTTAATCCATATAATGTGGGTATATATATGTACTGAAAAAAATGCTGATAAAGTATTGATAGAGGTACCTCCATCGAAGATATTATCGAGAAAGGTTCTGACACATTGAAAAAATATTTGAGGATCTACCACTTGCACCAGTTATTATATTCGATTAGAGTAAGGTCTAGAAAAAGATATAACCACTGATACTCAGTAAGATATGTATTACTAGAGGCGATTGCAAAGCAATAATAGTTAAAAATCACATCCGACGAAGCTATCTGGGG